CTCTGTGCCCTCACTACTCTTGAAGAACAAAGAAGTGCTATTGGTGTTTCAGTTTATTCAGTTTTTTTTTTTTTTTTGTTGTTGTTGTTAGTTTTTGTTTTGTTTTGTTTTGTTTGTACATTTTTCTAGAATACAGTGGTGGCTTCAAAACTGCTTACATCCTGGACATAAAACCAGAAACTTTAGAGAAATATTCAATTATTATTACAATAATGTATTGTTTCTTAATGATCCTATTTCCTCAACAGAATTTTATGTAAAGAGGCCCTTTTTAGAAACTTGGCACAGGATGTTCAACCATGGTTTTCTTTGAATTAGCAAGTGAGTGAATGAATGAATATTGAAATATCAGAAGTTTATTGATTTCAAAATAAAAATGTTATATTTTCTTTTCGTGATAGGAAAACTGCTAATATCACCTATGTATATGCTGTAATTTCTTAATATCATGGGAAACAGATATGCAGATTTCTAAACATTGGAAAACATACTACTTTTCTTTTTATTTTTATCTGGAATAACCCTGAATCCTACATAAGCTTTCAGCTCTATATTCTATGCATTTCTGTTTTATTATGAAATCAGTCTTCTTTCTTTTGAAAGTTAAAAAACAGTGACTGAAAATGAAACTTCACATTTCATTATGGCAACTCATTCTCAAGATTTCTCAAAGTACTAAGCAAATTGGTGAGTAGTACTTCTCAATAGCCTTCAAATCTAATGGTCTGTTTCACTTATTAGAGTAATATAGAATATATTAACTAAGTAAATTTATAGCATAAAGGTAAGGAAGAATAAAAATGCAATGAAAGATATTGAAAACATTTACTTCTTAGAGTTCTCTTGTGAATAAATATTTGTGAAGTTTTATATGATTTTCTTCAAAGCAAAACAAAGTTCATTTACTTAAGTAATATTTGCTGAAAAAGTATTAGTATGAGAAAATACTCTAAAAGGAATAGTGGAATATAATTTAAAATCACAAAAATTGCTGTAATTATATTTACAATACAGTGGGGGGAAATGTAAAAAGAACAAATAACTCAAGACAGCACAAGACAAATTTGCATAAATGACATGGTCATGTCTGAAGATATATCAGGAAAATATAGATGATGTAACTACTATTTTTGGTTGGAGCATAACTAATATAGGTAAGAAGAGTCATAAATAATGGGTTGTATTTGAGTAATGAGAACAAAGAGAAAAAGTTAATGTGGGTATATATAATAATATGAGGTTATAATACAAATGGAATGTGGTTATGGAAAATTTGCTTATAGGAAACAAGTAATATTACTTTGTTGGGATGTTCTTTGCACTTCACAAATTTCAGTGTATGAATGACTTATTTTTATTTTTCAGACATAGTTTTCTAGGGATAAATATTTTTGCTTCCCTAAAATGTTCCATGTAATAAAACTCAAACAATTCATATTGTCAAATCTCAGTACAATATTCATTGTAAGTATGTAATTCTCTTCCAGTAGTAGTGACCATAAGAATTAACTGTAAAAAACACTCCAGTCTCTAATTTAGATTCCCTTATTAGGGCTTTACTAATGTTGACTCAGTATGAAGAGAAGAAAAAAATCAACCCCCAAATGCTTTGTTGGAATACTACTGTATTTATATGTAATATAAACTTTAATGATTTTTGTAACAAATTCTGCGATGTTTATTCAGATACGAAGGATACTGTCAGCTTGGGAAAGAGTAGATAAAGGAAAATAAAAGAAATTCTGTGTGGAATTTCATGGTATGATATAATTTCAGAATGTTCAGTTTCTATCTGATCTAATTCAGTTTTCATTACTAGCAGATGACAGATTTTAGTCTTCACAACTCAATTATACAGATAATTAGAACTCTGATACATTAAAAATCTTCAAATATTTTTTTTAGAAAAATGCAAATATTAAATTTGTGGGTTTAATACTTTCTATGCTTTTTCTATGCAAGAAACAAAAGCAAACTTTTGAAAGTTCAAATCAGTTTCTTCTCATTGTTTTACTGAAGTATTTTCAATAAAATATATTAAAGTAAAACCTTAATATAGATTATACCAGGTATATATTGTAAGAATACAGAGTGAGCCTATATTTCTACGAGAAAAAAGGAATATTTAACTAAAATAAAAACACTTTATACTACATGAGCAGGATATTTAGAAAACATTAAAAGAGTAATAAATAATATATATTATGTAATAATAATACAGCTAATAAAATTATATAAGCAAAGCCAAATTAAAGCTTTTATAATAAAAAAAATGCAAACTCCCCTAAACCTCAAAACCCAAAACAAAATAATAAAGTTTATTTTTTTACTTTAATTAAAACTCAACGTACTGTGCACATAATCCCAGAAGCTCTGGAGGATGAGGCATGAGGATCATGAATTTAAAGCCAGTCTCAGCAAAAGTGAGGTGCTAAGCAACTCAGTGAGATCCTCTCTCTAAATAAAATACAAATAGGGCTGGGGGTGTGGCTCAGTGGTTGAGTGCCCTGAGTTCAATCCCTGGTATCCTCCTTCCTGCCTAAAAAACAAAACAAAACAAAAAAACTCATACCTGATACATACCTGTAATCCCAGCAACTCAGAAGTCTGAGACAAGAGGATTGCAATTTTTAGCTAGAGTCAGAAACATAGCAAGGCCTTAAACAACTTAATGAGTCCCTGTCTCAAAAAGCAAAAACAAAACAAAACAAAAAATAGTGCTGGAGATGTAGCTCAGTCGTAAATTGTCCCTGGTGTTCAATCCCAATGATAATAATAATAACAACAACAACAACAACCTTCTATGACATACTGGAAAAACTTTCCCAGGAGGATGACCACCACACATAGACTTATCAATTGTCTACTTTTGTGTTGTGGCTTCATCACATACACACCTGTGCTACATTATCAATAGAGAAAAGGGAGACATACCAGGAGATTCTTACACCAGCTCTTAAATACCTCACTCCAGAAAAATTGCATGAAATTCTGTTCACTACCCACTCAGAATTGCTAATATATGAATTATTACCAATTCAACCTATAAGGTCAACATGTTTGTACTCAAACTCCTAATAGAATCTTTTATAGTTATCACCAAACTGATTTCAAATATAACCAAAAATCAAAGACAATAAAATGATAAAATAAAGTATAAAGTAAATTTACTCTATCAAATTTTAATATAAATATGTGATAATCAATAATATATGGTATTTGCAAAAAATAGACATACCTGTAAATGGATACAAAAAAAATTCTAAATACAGATCCAGAGAAAGATATTTAATTGATTTTTGTCAAAGGCATGAAATGAATACAATAGGAACAGGGTAATCTTTCAGCAAATGATGCTGAAACAATTGGAAAACCATACAGGGAACAATGGATTTATAAGAAGTTATTTTTTTTTAAATATGTAGGCCTAAATATAAAATAAGAAAAATATCAAAAACTATTTATGATATGGAGATACTCAAGTAGTTCTTAGAAAAAATGGACCAGAACCATAATCTATAAATAAAAAATTTGAAATGAACATAATTTCTTCAAACTTAAAAGTCTTCTTCTGTTGACTGTTAAAAGGAAAAAGACAATTATCAGAATGTGGTACTTATTTGAAATTCATATTTGACAAACTAATTGTATCTAGAATTCCTAAAGGACACTCAAAATTCAAAAATAAGTAATAAATATTTGAAATGTGAAAGATTTTAGCAGACACTTTATGAAAGAATGCATATGAATTAGATATAACATAAATATAGTCAGTATTATAAATCACTCAGGAAATGAAAATTAAACTTGAAATATGATACCACTATATTCTTATTAGAATTGTATAAGAGAAAAAAAAATAAAAAACAGAAAACACCAAATGCTGGTGAGAATGTGGAATAGTAGGTATATTCATACATTGCTCTTGTGAAGGAAAAATTTTATAGTCATCCTGGAAAAGAGTTTGGCAATTTGTAAAATATTTACATATAACTGTTATGCAACACAGTTATAGTACCCTTTATCATTTAAGAGAAATAAAATCTTAAGTTGACACAAAAATGCATAGAATGTATATGCATATCTACTACAATATCTTAATACTGGAAATGATCAAAATACCATTCTGTAAGTAAGTAACAAGCTTTGGGTAATGTTTACTATAGAATACTACTTAGCAATGAAAATAAATGAACTATGAATACATGTGACATTGTTATTGAATGTTAAAGACATAATGGAACATTTTACTTCATTAATAGCATGTTCAATTGTATCCTAGTTTTTTTTCTTCCCTGTAAATTTTTTGAGGCTAACTAGATGATCACTGATATTCTTTCCTGTACTTATGTTTTAGTCAGCTTTTTTCACTGCTGTGATTAAAAGACCTAACAAGAAAAATTGTAGAGGAGGAAAAGTTTATGTGGGGCTCACAGTTTCAAATGTCTCAACCCATAGATAGCAGGATCCATTCCTCAGGGCTAAAGATAAGGCAGAAATCATGTGGAAGAGTGTGGTGGAGGGAAGCATCTCACATCATGATCATTAAGGGGAGAGAGAGAGAGAGAGAGAGAGAGAGAGAGAGAGAGAGAGAGAGAGAGACAGAGAGAGACCACTTGCCAGATACAAAATATATACACCAAAGGCATGACCTAATGTCCACCTCTTCCAGATATGCCCTACCTATCTTCAGTTACCTCTCAGTTAATCCCCATTAAAATATTAAGTCACTTATTAGGTAAAGATTCCCATAAACCAATCGTTTCTCCTCTAAGCCTTCTTGTATTCATTGTCTCACACATGAGATTTTGGGAGACACTTCACATCCAAGCCATAACAATTTATAAGCCTGTATTTGCCAATGATAATATATACCATATATGCCTCATTTTCCAAATCAGATTATCAATAAAAATGTTTTAGAATTAAATTGAATTTATAAAATTTTAATAATATAAATGGACTTCGCTTTCTGGACGCCGAGCTGTCATGAACTTACCATGCTGAGTGGAAGTCGGAGCCTCGCTTCTCGTGTAGTGCCCCTAGCCAGCCGGGCCCCTCAGATGAGAGCAGCACCCAGGCCAGCACCAGCAGCTCAGCCACCAGCTGCAGCCCCACCGTCTGCCATCGGGTCCCCTGCTGCAGCACCCCGGCAGCCTGGTCTCATGGTCCAGATGGCAACCACTGCAGCTGCTGTGGGGCACACACTGGGCCATGCAATCACTGGGAGCTTCAGTGGAGGAAGTACTGCCGAATCCGCAAAGCCTGATATCAGTTACCAGGATCCTCAGAGAACCCAGCCAGCACAGCAGTAGCAGCTTAGTGACCCTTGCTTTTATGAGATAAAACAAGAAATAAACAGGTTCTTCAAAGGGATTGTTTGCTAGCCATCTAGAAATTGCAATAGAGGGGATTACTGTAAGTAAAAATAAATTCAGGATACTATCAAAGTTATCAAGCTGGCCAATTGTAATGAAGAGTCAACATAAAGAGAGATTTAGAGGTAGAACTGCCATGCATTAGGTGAGGTGTCAATCAGATTTCTTAATTTTTTAGTCAAAATAGACAAAATGCAATCAAAATGAAAACAAAATGGTAAGTACAAGGCAAGGGCCAAGTACTGGTGGAAATATTTGACATAATGTTGCAGAAAGGTATATCAAGCAAGCAGTGGAAAATCAAGAATTGTACTCAGGAGAAATATTAGGACTGGAGAAAGACTTGGAAGTCAAGTCCATAAAAGCAGTACCACTAGATAAGAGGTTCCATGGATAAGGACAATGGAGTGAAAGGTGAAGAAACACTGATAAATACTTTTAGGAAGCAGAAAAATCAGAGAAACAGAAGCATAATAATTAGAAAAATCAGTGAATTTTGTGTATAGAAAAATCAAGAAAAAAATGAATGGGTTGTTGAGAAGTATTGCCAATGTCCAAACTCTAAACTGAGTTGGAAGATTGAGGTGAGATTTGCAAGAGAGAAAATAGTTAATATAAAAATATCCTTGATGATGCCTTAAGAGGTATCCCATCAGAAAGGAAATAAGATTGTTTCTGTTTGCAAATGTTATGAACTTAGATATAGAAAATTCTAAAATCTTGTGCTGGGGTTGTGGCTCAACTGTAGAGCACTAACCTAGCACACGTGAGGGCCTGGGTTCAATCCTCAGCATCACATAAAAATAAATAAATAAAATAAAATATTGTGTACAACTAGAACTAAAAGATAAATATTAAAAAAGAAAATTCTATAAACTTCACAAAAATTGGCTAGAACTAATAAATTCACCAAAGTTGCAGGATACAAGATATGCATAAAATCAGTTATGTTTCTATCAATAAGCATGAATTATCTGAATAGGAAAGTAAGAAAACAATCCCATTTAAAATAGCATCAAAATGATAAGATGCCTAGGAATAAATTTAATGAAATAGATGAAAAATCTGTGCACTGAAAATTATAAGATATTTATCATCAAAATTGAAGAAGACAGAAATAAGTAGAAATATATTCCATGTTCATAGATTGGTATAATCTATACTTAAATTGGTATAATCTATTCTGTAAAAATGTTCATACTACCCAAATTAATTGGCAACATTTCTTGAAGAAATACAAAACTAATTCCAAAATTTATATGTAATCAGAAATGACCTTCAATTAAAATAAGCTTGAGCTAAGTATGGTGGCACTTGCCTGTAATACCAGTGGCTTAGAAGCTGAGGAAGAAAGATTGAAAGTTCAAAGCCTGCCTCCGCTCAATGGTGAAGTGCCCCTGGGTTCAATACCCAGTAACAAAATAAATAAAGAAACAAATAAATACCAAAAAAAAAAAAAAAGCTCGAAGGAGGAGGAGGAGGAGGAGGAGGAGGAGGAGAAGAAGAAGAAGAAGAACTGGAAAAGCAGAAAAGCATCACACTAACCAATTCAAAATGTAATAAAAATCCATGGTAATTAAAGCAGGATGGTAGTAGCAAAAGGACAAATCTATAGATAATGGAATTGAATGAAGATCCAAGAATAGGTCCACACAAGAGTAGTCAACTGATAATTGAAAAGAGTGAAACAAATCCACAATATTGAAATGATTGTCTCTTCAATGAATAATTTTGATAAAACTGAATATACACATGTGAAAGAAAGGGTACACTTGACACCATTGTCTTACTAGATACAAAAATCAACTCAAAATTAATTAAAGATTTAAGCCTAAGATCTAAAACTGAAACTCCTGGGAGATATCATAGAGGAAAATGTAGGTGTTGATCTTGGCAATAGTTTCCTGTATGTGATATCAAAAGCACAGCTAATAAAAGCAAGAATAGACAAGTGGGATGACATCAAATTTAAAAGCTTTTTGACAGCATAGGAAAAAATGGAGTAAAAAGGCAGTATATAGAATGGAAGAAAATACATACAAACCATACATCTGATAAGGGAGTAATTTCAAAAAATACATAAATAATTCCTTCAATTAATTAACAAAAAAGTGAATTGTTTCATTTTATCATGAGCTAAAGAATTGAATAGACATTTCTCCAAAGAAAATATTAAAAAAGGCAAAGAGATACATGAAAATATACTTATTATCACTTATCACTAGGGAAATGAAAATCAAATAACAATGTAATGTCATCTCATATCTGTTATGATAACCTATATCAAAAGATAAGAATGAAAAGAAAAAGAACAAAGGTAACAAGTATGGAGAATGGTGTGGAAAAATGGAAACTCTTGAACACTGTTAGTGGGAAGGCAAAATGGTGAAACTGATATGGAAAAGATTATAAGGCATTCCAGAATATTTACAACATAGGATGCAGCAATCCCACTTCTGGGTATTAACAGAAAATAATTCATATCAGGATGTCAAAGAGATATTAGCATTCTCATGTTAATTATAGCATTATTCACTATAGCCAAGGTATAAAATGAGCCAAAATGCCCATTTAAAGAAGAAATGAATACACAAACTGTGTATATACCTACAATGGAATAATTTTCAACCTTAAAAACAAGGAAATTCTGCTGTATGTGGCAACATGGTGAACACTGAGGACATTATACTAAATTAAATGAACCTATTAAAGAAGGAAAAATGCTACATCATTTGGCCTACACAAGCTATCCAGAATTGTCAAATTCATAGAAGTGAAAAACAAAATGGTGATTGGTAGTGAGTGAAGGAGTGACTGGGATTTTCTAATCAGCATTTATATATTTTTAGTTAAACCAGATAAGTTCTAGAGATTTGATGTACAATCGCAAGGGTTGTTATCATAATAAAACATAAATGAACATATGTAGAGCATCCTAATTTCTTGAATGGTAAGAGAGATGCTTTGTGTTATTAAAAAAAAAAAAAACAAAGAAAAGAAAAGAAAAAAAAAAAGAATAAATGAAGGGCATCTAGGTTGGTACTACAATTTAGCCACTGTGAATTGAGCTGCTATAAACATTGATATGGCTGCATCACTTTACTATGCGATTTAAAGTCCTTTGGGTATAGACCAAGGAGTGGGATAGCTGGCTCAAATGGTGGTTCCATTCCCAGTTTTCTAAGGAATATCCATACTACTTTCCAGAGTGGTTACACCAATTTGCAGTCCCACCCGAAATTTATGAAGGTGCCTTTCCCCCCACATTCGTGCCAGCACTTATTGTTGTTTGTATTCCTGATAACTGCCATTCTGACTGGAGCAAGATGAAATCTTAGAATACTTTGAAGTGCGTTCCTCTAATTACTAAAGATGTTGAGCATTTTTTTTTTCCAAAAAGTGTCTGTTCAGCTCTTTAGTCTGTTTATTCATTGGGTTATTTGGTTTTTTGGTGTTAAGTTTTTTGGGTTCTTTATATATCCTGGAGATTAGTGCTCTGACATGTGTGTGGCAAAAATTTGCTCCCAAAAAGTAGGCTCTCTTTTCACCTCATTGATTGTTTCATTTGTTAAGAAGAAACTTTCTAGTTTGAATCCATCCCATTCATTGATTCTTTTTTTTAAGAGAGAGAGAGAGAGAGAGAGAGAGAGAGAGAGAGAGAGAATTTTTTAATATTTATTTTTTAGTTTTCGGCGGACACAACATCTTTGTTTGTATGTGGTGCTGAGGATCGAACCTGGGCCTCAGGCACGCCAGGCAAGCACACTACCGCTTGAGCCACATCCCCAGCCTCCATTCATTGATTTTTTATTTTATTCCTTGTGCTTTAGGATTCTTGTTAATGAAGTCAGGGCCTAATCCAACGTGATAAAGATTTGAGCCTACTTTTTTCTCTATTAGGTGAAGGGTCTCTGGTCTAATTCCTAGGTTCTTGATCCACTTTGAGTTGAGTTTTGTGTATGGTGAGACAGGGATTTAGTTTCATTTTGTTACATATGGATTTCTATATTTCCCAGTACCATTTGTTGAAGAGGCTATCTTTTCTCCAATGTATGTTTTTGGCACCTTTGTTTAGTATAAGATATCTGTATTTATGGGGTTTGTCTCTGTGCTTTGTATTTTGTACCATGTCTACATGTCTATTTTGGTGCTGATATCATGCCATTTTTGTTACTATAGCTTTGTAATATAATTTAAGATCTGGAATTGTGATGCTTCCTGATTCAATCTTCTTGCTAAGGATTGCTTTGGCTATTCCAGGTCTCTTATTTTTCTAAGTGAATTTCATGATTGCTTTTCCTATTTCTTTAAGGAATGATGTTGGGATTTTAATTGGAATCACATTGAATCTATATACTACTTTGAGACATATAGCCATTTTGACAATATTAATTATGCCTACCCAAGAGCATGGAAGGTCTTTACATCTTCTAAGGTTTCTTTAAATTGAGGAATGTCTTCAAAACTACTGAGAACATGAGAAAAGACTTTAAGAATACAACTTGAGGGCTCAGTGGCAGAGCACCAGCTTCGCACATATGAGGCACTGGGTTTATTCTTCAGCACCACATAAAAATAAATAAACAAACTAAAGGGAAAAAACTACTACTTGAAGAAGCTTTCAATGAATAAAATAGAAGAATTTGAGGAACAAAGAATGAGATTTACATACATAATTTTATCATATATATTTAAATGTGTATATTCATAAATACAATTTAAGATCTTCATTTTCCCTTATGTAGGTTATTAGGCCAACAAGTGTTCTTTTTTTAAAATTTTAATCAATAAAGGAAAGAGATGTTTATCCTGCATTTTCTATAAACACTATATTTCAGTGCAATCAAGTAATTCATGAGAAAATTCTTCTTCATAAGACAGAATCATTTGAAGAAATTAATAGGTCAAATGGAGTAGTTTTTTCATGGAAATTCTGA